GCGGCAGAGCACAGAGGTGATGTTGCTGGCGTACTGCGCCATCACCTTCCGGATCGACTTCTCCACGGACAGGGGGATTCTTCCCGAAATGCTCGTCATGATCTCCTGCAGCTCCAGGAGGGGCAGGGAGGGGTCCCGCAGGGTCTTCATCAGCTGTGTCACCCACTCCTTCACCTGTGGGGAGCAGAAGCCGGTGCTGCCTGCACCCACCGGTGCTGCCCGCACCCTCCGGCGCTGCCTGTCTTGCCAGCACGGCAAACATGAGGCAACGAGGCAGGACTCCTGGCCCGCCTTTGCCCCCAGCACCCACCTTGGTGCTAAAGTAGGGCTCGGGCAGGCAGTACCCGTTCATGACGTTGGTGAGATTGTCCAGCACGTTGCGGAGAACCTGGTGCTGCTTCTCGCCGGTGATGGGAAGGGTCTGCTGTGCTGGGAGCCCCCCTGTGAACGGCTGCGCCTGGAGAGAGCAGAGAGAGGTGGGCTGGCCCGGGTCCTCGTTGACATGGGACGTGGTCCCCCAAGAGCCGGGGCTGTCCCGACAGCCCCAGAGAAACCAGCACAACCCCTCCAGCATCTGCTCTGGGTTACAGAGGAAGCACCTAACATTCAGCTTCATGTCTCTGCCAGTGCCCCATCATGAAAACAATGCAGAAAAACTGGAGATGTAGACAGAGTGCTACAGATACGCTAAAAATTTGCACGTGAGCTTCTGCACACTGAGCAAGCGTGCAGGGGATGCTCACCCAGAATGACACCGCAGCACGCAGAGCAGCTGCCTGAGCCCCAGTGCAGCTGGCTGGGGGATGTGGCATGGCCACGCGAGTGCCACCCCGTGCCAGCACGGGGACACGTGCCTGCCGATGCCCTAGTGTCCTCCGTTTTATCCCCCAGCGAGTGTCCCCAGTGCCCCGTGGGGAGGGGACAGCAGCATGGCCGGCTCCCAGCAGACTCACGGGCTTCAGCTTGGTGGGATCATCCAGCTCGAGCCGGGCTATGACGCAGCCCGCCTCCAGCAGCGCTCCCGGTCGCTTGACGTAGTGCACCCGCCCGGCCTCCTCCACCACCAGCGTCATGATGATCTTCATCACCTGGGCGAGGACGGGTGAAACAGTCACCGAACGGGCAGTGCCCGCGTGCTGCAGGGTGCCTCAGGCACCACGCAGCATTGGCAGGTTTGGTCCCAGCCACGTGCCTGCACCATGGGAGCGGGGCTCCTCCAGGCTCTCCTGCAAAACTCACCTCGATCTCTGCAAAAACGTCCCCCTCGGCTACATGGCCACCGTCGTCCACAGTGTACTGCAGCAGCTTCCCTGCGGAGGGTGAGCGCAGTACCGTCGGGTCCTTCTCCTTCTCAAAATCACACGTTTTGTTGCCGATGGTGATCCGGTATCTTAAAGAGAGGGAAAGGTCTCACCAACTGGCCAGCAAGGGAGGGCTAGCGGGCACCCAGCGAGAAGGTACCTGTCGATCTCCTCCTTCATGTAGGTGGTATAGCTGTTGCCATTGTAGGAGAGCAGCAGCCCACCATCGTTCAGGCGGTGCACGTCTATCTCTATGTGAGTGCGGTTCATGATGATGACGTACGTCGTCAGGGACTGGCGGGCAACCTGCGGGCAGCGGCCAGGCAGAACCCTCAGTGCAACCCCCTGCAACTCAGGCAACGGACTTTCTGGGGGCTGGTGGGAACGGCGGGCGGTGAGGAGCATCTCCCCACGCTCGGTGCATGGACCGGTGCAGGAGCAGCGCGCTGCCGCAGGATGGGGCCGTGCTGGGGAGGGCGGGAGGGAGCAACCTCAGGCCACACCAAAGAGCTGGTTCAACTCGCAGCCCGGAGCTGGTTTAATTCATGGCTCACCTGCTGCTTTCATTGTGAGTAGGGAGTTTGTGCATGAAGTTCAACTAATCGAGTTTAAAAGCAAGAAAAGGAGGTCCTGTATTAAACTCAGGGCAACAGGACATATGAAAGTGTCTCTCTAGTTAAAATGAGGTTATTTTTATGTTGCACATTTTTAAAGGACATCCTCATATTTATCGCACCTTTCTCCTTCAGGAGAGAAACACATGTCCCTGCCCCCATGAGAAGTGCTGTGGCTGGTTCGGGAGGATCATGGCCCAGCCCTCACCTGGAGAATGTACTTCACGCCCTCGTAGATGAGCTCCACGTCAACGATGTTCAGCAAGGAGGCTGCTGGCAGCACCTGCCCCCTGAAACACAACGGCCGGGTCAGGCACCACAAGTATTGCTTGCCTTGCACGCCGGCGGGGAGCCAAGTGTGCGAGATGTCAGCGGTGCTGCTGGCGTCGGGCCACGGGGGCTCCGAGCTGACTGTGGGAGGGCGAGAAGGTGACCGGAGTGTGCAGGCATCTGCTTTAAATGCCCCACGTGAGCGCCCTGTAAAAATGCATCCGGAGGCAGGCCAGACGCTGGCAAAACTCACTCAGATAAGGGTGTGGGGGAGAGCCCCGGGTGTCCTCCAAGGCCAGAGGAATAACCTTGACATTCAAGTGCAAAAACAAAAGCAAGCTGCACTCAGCCAAGCCACTTTCCCTTGGAAAGCTGTTTTCCCAGCCATGTGAAACTTTTTCCCCTCTCCAGATAAAGCGATAGCTGAGAAGCCAGAGCTGTGAGTCACAGCAGATACCCGTTTCCCAGCTGCTGCGGTGCTACTGCCTCCAGATTTGCAAAGCTTTTGCAGCAAAAGTGGGAAGGAAGATGGCCCAGGGAGAGCACCACTCAGGTCCCCATGCCTGCAGGAGACACGCGGGCTGCTGGGAGCCGCCGTTCAGGACACGCACTCCCTGTGCCCACGGCACGGCCGAGCCCCCGTCGGGCAGCCCCCGCTCCGCACCTCTCCAGCGAGTGCAGGAAGTCGGTCATGCAGGTCCTGAAGGCAGCATCCGCGACGTTCAGGGCACCGCAGACGACGCCCAGCATCGTGTCTGGCTTCTCTGCCTGTGGGGAGCAAAAATGTTTGGGTCTTACACCAGAAGGGGAGCAGAGAGCCCGGGGTGGCTGATCTCCCCCACCTGCACTTTCTCAGCAATCAGATGGTCCAGCCAGCCGGTGTCTATCTCGTTGTTTTGGAAGCTCTCTGTCTCCAGCAGCTTTATCAGATACTCCACTGTGGTCCGGAAATCCCCGCGAATAGACAGCTCTTTCAGGGCGACCACCATGTTCCTTTTAGGGAGCAAAACTCGCCATTAATGATCCATGAGGTGGCACTTGGTTTTCAGCAGAGAAAACGGGGGAACCACAGGGACTGGGGTGCTGAGCTCCCGAGGCCCGGGTGCCCTCCTGCCTGGATGAGGCAGCCCCACAGTCAGCATTGACTTAGTAAAACACTGAAATACCCAAGACAGACTCGTTACATGTTTCTCAGTTACCGAATGAACATTGCTGCTCACTGGCACTAAGCACGTGCTTAGCGGATCACTACAACGTGTCTTTAAGGATCACGTTGATGAACTGGGGCCGTAGCACCACCGCAGTCTGAAAACTTTGGCTTTGGCCAGACAGTCCCTGCAGCACAAACAAGCCGCTCAGCACAGCGGCACCACTCTGGTCCTCTCAGATAAAAAGCACTTTTCCCAGCTCATGCACCGATTGCGAGTCTTCTCAAGGACATCCACTCTCCACCCCGTCCCGCCACACTCACGAGATGGCCTCCTCCCGGTTCTCTCCCCACGAGAAGCAGTGCCCAAACTGGGAATCGGCAAATTCATGCAGCCCCCCAGCTGCCGCCACGCTGAAGTACCCCCAGACGTTCTTGCTGCTGCGGAAGTTCAGCTCCTGCACCGTCCCTGAGCTGGGCTTGAAACCCTGAGCGAAGACAGAGCAGAAGACATGGAGAAACCAGGTGTGAGACGCATGCGGTGTGACCAGGGAAGGGGAACCCCCACGCCATTTATTCACCTGCACCATCACCAGTCCCATGGGTTCAACACCCACGAACACTGTCTGGCTGGGGAGGACGGTGCCCGGTTCAACCCCACCAGCGCCAGGGTCCCCCCGTTCCCACACGTGGGGCCGGTGCACGAGAGCCCATCCCCCCGGCTCACCTCCTCGGGGTTCTCGCTGGTGATCCGTGCCGCGATGACGTGGCCCCTGGGCACGGGGGTGTTGGTGGGGCTGTGGAAGCTGATGGGCGTATCGCCCCAGGGGCTCTCCCCATACAGCACCCGGATGTCTTTTATCCTGTGCAAGGGGATGCCCATTGCAATCTGCATGAGAAACAAGGAGGACTCAGTTGCCAGAACAAGACTTTAGCATCAAAATTACAACCGGGAAACATTAATTGATGGCCTGCATGAAGAGTGAGTGAAAGAGGCACCACACTGCAGACAGCTGCTCTCAGCGGGGAGCCAGAGGTGAGGGAAGGATGCTACGTTGCTTCCGCCTGCACCCTACCTGCTGGTATATAGGACAGCTTCCCTCTGCCAGGCTCCAGCTCAGCACTTCCCCTAAATTACAAAATCTAACACACCTCGCAAAGCCGCCCGTGTGCACTCAGGTACCTGCAGCTGAGCAGCGGGGAGGTTCACGTCTGCGATCATCTCTGTGCAAGGGTGCTCCACCTGCAGCCGTGGGTTCAGCTCCAGGAAGTGGAAGCTCCCATCCTCGCTGTAGAGGTACTCGACGGTGCCGGTGCTCACGTAACCCACCATCTGGGCCAGGCGAACCGCGCACTGCAGGAGAGGGTGAAACCGCCGCGGGGAGTGATGACCCTCTGTTCACTGCAGTAGAGTCAGGATTGTCCCGAGCAAAACAGCAGCAGTATCTTTGCACGGATCCAAGGAGACAAGCAGGGCTGGGGCTCCCCGCTCGGCTCGAGGGTCCCTCCCTTCCTTAGGAGCCTCAGGTGCCAAAACCCACAATAAGCCCAGCAAGGATCAGACCAGTTTCTCACTAAAACCTTGTGCTGCCTTAAGACCAGGGCCACCCACCTGCTCCATCACCTCGATGACGGAGGGTGCCGCGATGGTGATGGGTGCTTCCTCGATGATCTTCTGGTGCCGGCGCTGGATGGAGCAGTCACGGCCAAAGAGGGAGATGGCGTTGCCGTACTCATCGGCCAGCACCTGCACCTCTAGGTGCCGCGCGTGCTGCGCCAGCTTCATCAGGAAGATGGGGGACCCGGGCGCCTCTGCCTGGACCTGCAGCGTAGGGGAGAGTCGTGCTCTGGCATCACCCCCCAAAATTCATCCCAGGACAGAGACAGGTCCTGCGGTGAGCCCAGGCAGGAAGCGCAAGGTGCCCAGGATGAGCAGGACCTGCTGCGTGCCCCAGGATGGGATGGGGAGAGGGATGGGGGCTGCGGGCACCTCTCACCTGACGGAAGCAGGCACCAAATTCCTCTGTTGCCTCCACTTTTCGGATGCCTTTGCCCCCACCGCCTTCTGCTGCCTTGATCATCAGCGGGTAGCCTATCGTCTTGGCCACCTGAGGGGGGACAAGGGGTTACCGAAGTGCTTTGGACCCAAACCCATCACCCCAACAGTCCACCCTGCCCCAGCCGCACACATCCCCCAAGTCGCGTCCACGCAGAGGGACAAACTGCTGCTCAAACAGCCTTGCCATCACTGTCACGTGTGCTGGGAGGCCGAAAGGGCCAGGGCATGCAGGCTCCGAGGAGAAATAATGGTGGACAAGAGATAACCAGCTGCCCGCAGGCTCAGTTTTACCTCCAGGCCTTCTTCCACATCCTTCACGCAGCCCTGTGCGTACGTCTCAAGGGGAATACTGATCATCTGCTGATGCTTCTGGTCCTCCTCAGACCACTGCGCCACCAGACCTGCGGGCACAACCAGGGCTATGGTATGGGTGGCATGCTGGCTGTGCCCAGGGACCTGGAGACCCCGTGTTGGCACATGCCGTTTCCCCTGTTTCCATGCACCCCATGTCCAAAAACCCCTCTGCCCAAACCAGCAGCTGTGGGGTCCCCAATGGTCCCCGACATCTGCAGTCACTCTGCAGCCATCCATCCTGGGGACCCCAACGCCGGTGCTTGCTTTGGGGGAGAAAGAGATGTAGGGAGGAGAGAAATGGGGGAACAGGGAGGGTGCGCGTGGCTGGGGAGGAGGCACTTACTGCTCCCACTCCATGGCAGCGTGGGGATCTGGACCGTCTGAGCCACAATGGTGGAGGCGACTTTGTCCCCCAGTGCCCACATGGCATCGCTGGGGGGACCTTCAAACAGAGAGGGAAGGGGTGAGCTGGGCCAGCCAGCCTGGCCCCGTCACATGGATGTTGCAGAAAGCTGCTCCCCACTGAGCCGACACCTTCCGCAAAGAGTGGGGCCACGGGAAGCCCCCCCAAACCCACTGCCTGGTTCAGGATGGAGCTTGACCCTTCTCCAAGGGAAGCCCAGGCTGCCCCTAGGTGGGCAGCCCACGAGGTACGCTCCCACCTAGTGTTCCTCCATGAATGCTGCATCAGCACGAGCATCACAGGGAAAACCCAGAAAACAGCAGGATTCCTGGGACAGCTCTAGGAAACCAGCCTGGGGACCGCCACGCCGCAGGGTGGACATGCCAGATACGCGAAACGGGCATTGCCCAGCGCCGTGTCCCTGGGGAACGAGCCTGCACGCACACACTAGCCCAATGCCCACTGCTCCGTCCAGCGCTGGGAAGGCAGCGAGACCTTACCTAGGAAAGCTATCCCATTTTTCTGCAGCAGTTCTGGCAGCTTGGGGTTTTCCGAGGCATGTCCCCAGCCAGCCCACACCGCCTGGCACAAGAGAAGGAGCGAACTGTTACCTCCCTGCGCTGCTGTTCTCCCATCGCCCGCAGCATCGTGGCCGGCTCCTCCGCACGGAGGGATGTCACCCTGTTTCTGAGCGACCCTTCTTCCCCATCCGCTTCCCTCGGCAAAGAGGTGGGAAGCCTGTGAGCAGCTGCTACCTGGACTGGGATCCGTTTGGAAATGTCCACGATCAGCTCCACATTGGCGTAGTTGTTGTTGTTGGCCCCCCCGGGGACGGGCACGTAGTGATCTGCCATTTTGATGTACTCTGAAAGACGGCACGTGGCGGAGGTGGGGAGCCAGTCCCCTGAGACGCACCCCACTCACATGCTGCCCCTTGCACCCCCTCCCCAAATCCTCCATCTCGGGGAGGCTGGAGCGGGGGTGGAAATTATTTGCTCCCGGATCTAGCTGCACGGGGGGAAGCGTGTGACCCCAGGCTGTGCAGAGCCCCCCCATGTCCCAAGTGCTGTCCCGGCTCAGCCCCAGGAACTTCCCTCGCTGGGATGCTTTTAGGAATTACCCGCATTAGCCTTGAGGTCTTCAGGGGTGACCATGACCACAAACCGAATGGCACGCTCATTTCGGAACATCTCGTAGGCCCACCGGCGGATGGAGCGCATGCACTTCACGGCGGCGATGCCGTTGTTGGCGATGAGGACCTGGGGGAACGGGGACGTGGGGCGTCAGGCTAAAACCTCTCCTTGCTGCTGGGGCATGGGGATGGGCGTGCGACCCCGAGGGACAGCAGCGCGGAGGTGAGGGCTGGGCACAGGCGGTGAGCAAAGCAGGGCAGCCGTGCCAACACGGGCGCTTGGCTACAGCCCGTTGTATGTGCCGGCGGAGCAGGAGGCTCCTTAACAGCAGCCTGGGTGCCTGGCACTGAGGCTAGCGAAGGATGGGACTTTGGCCTTCGTTAGTGCCTGCCGTGCAAAGCTGCCGCAAGCAGCCGCCCTGCAAGGGCAGCGCTGAGAGAGTTTCCCTCTCCCAGCCTGCGAGGGCGGGTGAAGCCGGGGGACGATCAGCGCTGGGCTGCCCTGGGCTGCCATCGGTCCAAGCCTGGCGGGCACGGGAGACTTCAGCAACACTCGAGGGTGCTGCCATGAAAAGCAATGACCCACCACCCGGGCAAAGGCAGGGGTGTGCGGGTAAAGACCTTCTCGATGACACGGTTGCCCCCGAAGCGGGTGACGAACTCTGCTGGCGAAGCGACGGTGAAGTCCCGTTGCAGATCCATCTTCCTGTGCTCACGGCCCCTCTTCGCCAGGTGCAGCCCGGACATGCTAGGCCTGCGGCGGGACGCGACGGCAGTCAGTAAGCTTGCAGGAAGGCGAGCAAACCCTCGCCTGACGTGCTGCCGCTGGCTGAGGTTTCCCGGGGGGATCGGATCTGCCAGCAGCAGCAGGCAGCAGAGACCAGACTTTGCCCCCTCCACAGTTTCTTCCAAGGAAAGCAATAAAACCCTTCACCCTGCTGACACGCAGGGAACATCAGGATCCACTTTCCTTGCTACCAGCTCCCTGTTGTACACCAGGATTTCTCCAGGGACATTTAACAACCACTGCGACCCCGCAGAGGAAAACTGTTCTTGGGTGAGTTATATGGGACAAGAATTTGGGGTGAACAGACCATGTTTTGCAATTAACCCCGTCCAGCAGCTGTGGGTCCACATTGATTCAAACACCACGACAAGCAGATTTACAGCCACAGGGCCTGGACTGAGACCCCGCTGTGCTGGACAAAAGTCCCGGGGTTTCCATTTCAGGGAGCAGAGAGCTGCTCAGGGTTTTTGGAAGCACGCTTGTGTCCAAACACTGCTACCACCGCAGCACGGCCGTGCCCGCTTCTGCACCGCTAACAGCTCCCAGCACGGCTGCAGCTGCAAACATGACACAAATCTGCTCCCAGGGAC